CTTCATCAATGGAACATCAAACACTTGAGAAAGTACTATCAATGATGAGTGTATGTTCTGTTCCGATCCGATCTCGATGCTGTCTAATATATGTTTGTCACAATCCAATCTCATTTGTAACTTCTCTATCTTACTAAGTGATGTAATTGTCTTAGTGATGGATGATGTAACTTCTAAGTAATCATACTTCAGTTCTTTATGTGTAATCAGTTAATGAGTTGTTACCTCGGTTATTTAATATGTTATTGCTCTGATCTCCTTTTATCGACTGGTTATCGGTAAGTGGTGCTTATTGTTTGTTTAAGTGCTTGTCATTCATATACTCAAGTATAAACAGTTCAACACAATGAAAAGGCAGAAGCAACAATACTTATACAAAAATTTTCATTTCATTCATTTGAAATTGAATTACAAAAGAGGCCGAAGCCATTGCAGGAATAACCCTATTCTACTGGGGCATCATCCGCGCCAGCCTCCACCTCGTCCCTCTCCGGGATCTCTTGAGCCTCCTCGGCAAACCTGTCAGGCCGGCCTCTAATAGGCCCACCGAACTCTGCCTCTAAAGAAAATATATCCAAAATAGGGTGGACCTCTTTTAGTCAACCCAACAATCCTTGGGCACTCCAAGAGGCCTAGTAATTGGCAAAGTCGCGTACAGGGGGTGCTCCACAAAATGGTCGATAAAGTTCTGCACCGCCACCTCCCATGCCGACTTCATCTTTCTCTTCAAGGAGGCAATCTCCTCAACCTGGGCCTCCGCCCTCTGCCTCTGCTCAGCTTTTTCTTTATTTGAGACCTCCAAAGCCTTTGTGGCGAGCCAGTGGTGCTTATTGGCATAATCCACCCTTCTGGTAATTACAGCCACCTGGCACTCCACTTCATAGAGCTCCTTTTTCAACTGCTCAATCTCTCCCTTAGCAGTCGGCAGCTGGGCCTCGACTTCTTTTCTTGCTTTCTCCTCCTCCGAGGCCTGGGCCTCGGCCTCCTGCACGACATCGCCATAATACATCGCCTCCTTAATGTGCTTGGCGAGGTCTTTCCTCTTCGAATTGAGGTCTTTCACCAAGCCCTCAAGTTGGATGCTTGTGCTTAGGACTTGGGCCACACAGGCACTGTTGGCAGCAATGAGGTCTTCGGCGATGCAGGAGGTAGTGTGGTCTCTCCATTCCTCCGTCCAATACTTGTTGTGGACCACCACCACTACTGCCATCTCCGGAGAAAGAGCCTCCATCACCTCTTTCACCGGCTCCTCTAAATTTGTGCCCAAGAAGTCCTCCTCCTTCGAAGGACGGGCTCTCTTCCTCTTCGCCTGCTCCGGCACTTGGGTGATTGGAACAGCAGCAATTGGAGCTGTAGCTGGGGCAGGAGAAGCTTCGGAGGGTGCAGACGTCTTCTCCGAGATGGCCACCCAGTAGGTATGGTGGTCTGCTTCAGGACCGGGGACGGCCTCGCCACTGTTGGGTGCTTCGAAGGGCCAACAGACTTCTTGCCCTTCTGCAGCAAGTTGGCCTCCGAATCCTCCGCCACCTCCTCCTCTGTCGGAGGCTGGAGCCTCTTGCTGGCATCCACCAGATCCTCCATCTGCTTCTTGTATGCAGAGGAGAAGGTCTTCAAGGCTATCGCCTCGGCCATCATCTTCTGGATGGTCTTGAAGTCAGGCCTCAGAGGCATCTTCCTGTTAAAGTTATCTACAAAGAAAAAGGCAAATTATTACAAGTGTAAAGGGTCCAGAAAATTATTAGAGTATTCACTTCGGGGATTTTACCTTGAGAAGCCATTAGATCGTGCGTCACAAAGTGAATGTTCTTCCTAATCAGCTGGTGGTATGACCTCTTCTTTGGAGGCAACTGTCAGCTGATAGATGATGCAGATGATATCAAAGTCGTCGATGGATATCTCACACCGAGGAAGAGTACCTTCAAAAGCAAACAAATATCAGTTAGGATCTAAACCGAAGAAGAATAAACATAAATACAAAGTAGTCAGTACTCACTAAGTGTAGAATAATTCGTGGAGACCATAAGAGACGCCAGGGGGTCCCCCTCGATCGTGTTCCATCTCCCGGCAGCCTAGCACCACGAGTTCTTCGACTCCTTAATGGAGCTTGGCAGATCGAGCACGAATGGAGTATGGGAACCCCATGAGGTCAGGTAATATCAGCCCCTGGTCTTATCCCTCCAGCCATTACCTTGGGAATGTAGAGGGTCTGGAAGACAGAAAAAGGGCATCTCTACCTCAAGCGATGCCGCCTTCTACAACATCCAGGAGCCCACCATTTGGCTCCGGGAGTTCGGATTCAACTAGGTCGGAGCTAAACCATAAGACCTAAGCACTAGGCGGAAGAAATGATGGATCGGGAGCCTAAGGCCAGCCCTAAGAATTGCTTCACTAATTGCCACGCACCCTGACCTGGGGTAGCAAGCCCTCTCATCGGGTTCGGGTAGGATCAAATCTACATTGTCTGGAATCCTATACTCCGTCCTAAGTCTATCGAGGTCGGTACTTTTCAACTTAGAAGGGTAATCTGATGCCCCCAATGCACAGACGTGTCTACTGGGCTATTAGGCCTCCTTCAGATATTCTCCCTCCATTATCGCTTCGAAGATTTTGGAGGAGGTCGCCAAAATGAGCTTGTCCATTCGTACTAATTCTAGCCCCCTCCCCGAGCTACCTCTACCCTCAGAAGCCATTTTTTCAGAAATGAAAGATGTCAAATACTTACTAAAACTCACGAAATGGGGGTTCCACAACCGAAAATGATCAGGAAACACTGTAGAGTCGTCGAAAACTGGAGTTGTAACTGGAAAATGCTTGAAAAACGCCGAAAAATGCTTGAAGAGCATCGAAAAATGCAAGGAATTTGAGAGCAAATAGAGTTTTTGATTTCGCAAAAGTGAAAAACTCCCCAAATGCTCAAGTCCGCCTTTTATATGGGCGTCCCAGCTGATCTCCACCGTTGAATTCAAATGCAATCGATCTAGGCCGTCTGTCGCATCATCAATCTAGGTCGTTGAAATGAAATGCCAGATTAGATCTATACCCAAGACCTAGCCGTGACCCTCAAGCTCACATACGCTCACATGAAACGCGTTTGCCAGTATCACCATCAGCTGTCTACAATAAGTAGCCGCAACAGCCTTTTCTAGGAATGGGCATCGCACACAACTGTCGCCTTGAAAATATGCGACGGCTTTCAAATCATTTAACATCAGAAATGTTCGCCTCAGATCGAGCAGATGAGCTCCACACGGCTTTACAAAGTTTAGACGCACCTGACGCGGAGTCCCCTGTGGGTCATCGCCTCAGTAGCTACATCCCCTCTTAAACTTTACAAAACTTTAGCTATCTCCCAACGTATCATCCCTGTGGGTCAACTCATCGGTAGCAGATGAGCTCCACACAACTTAGACGCATCTGACGTGGAGTCCTCTGTGGGAAAACTCATCGGTAGCAGATGAGCTCCGCACATCTTTACAAAACTTAGACGCACCTGACGTGGAGTCTCCTGTGGATCATCGCCTCGGTAGCTGCATCCCCCCTTAAGCTTTACAAAGCTTTAGCCATCTCCCAACACGTTGTCTCCTGTGGGTCAACGCATCGGCAGAAGATGAGCTCCACACAGCTTTACAAAATTTAGACGCACCTGACGCTAATCCCCTGTGGGTCATCGCGTCGGTAGTTGTATCCCCTCTTAAGCTTTACAAAGCTCTAGCCATTTTCCAACGCATCATCCTATATGGGTCAGTGCACCAATGGCAGATGAGCCCCTCACTCAGCTTCACAAAGTTTCGACGCACCTGACGCGAGGTCCCTGTGGGTCATCGCCTCGGTAACTGCTTCCCCTCTTAAGCTTTACCAAGCTTTAGCCGTCTCCCAACGCACCGTTTTATAGGCCAGCACATCGATTTATGGATAAGCTCCTTCCTTTGCAGTAATGAAGCTTTATTAGCGCATATGTCGAAGATATGTCTCGATCTTCATCTCTTCAATGAACACAGAAAACCATCCCACAAGCTCACAAATCGCGGTTCCTGTCCCGAGGCAGGCATACCCGATCAGGAAAACAAGTCCACTCATGATATAAATATTCATGCCTAAACTTGAGGGGACCACTGTTATGCCCCTATCTGAACCACTTCGGAAAGACTGCCACTGTGTCATACGAGGTGTCCAACACCTATCCGAAGTGGTTCCGAAGTGACTCCACTATTAATGTTGGCGAGCTGCTAACGCGCTGACAATTCTACTGAACCAACCGAAGCGTCGTCGAGAATCTCTGTCAGAGGATCCCCTGCCAATTTCAGAAAGAGATCAGTGTCAAGATTTATTCTGCCCCCAAAGTTTAAATTGATTTAACGTCTCCATGGGCTAATTGATGTGATGTATCAACTTTATATCAACTCAACTCGGGAGAAGTTATTACCCGTCCACTCTATAAACGCGGTCGATTGACGCCTATGAGAAAACGGCTCATACCGTCAGATGTATACATGTGTCTCACATCTAACGGTTCTCCTCAACTATAAATACCCAATGTTTGATAAGAGGAAAAGGTAATGAAACTCTTACAATTTAACTCTTCATAACAAGTAAATATATATTCTCCTCCTCACCCTTTTTGCACAACCTTGGCACTGTTCCGATCACTAGAAGCTAATTTGATCGTCGGAGTGTATGCGGCCGTCGGCACTCCTGCTGGTTCCGACCGTGTGCATCTGACTTAACGTTAACTGTGTGCAAGGAGGATTATACGGAGCAACTATCGATTGGTCACGTGGAGGGTCCAATTCGCGAAATCAGCACAAACTATTTGAACTCATGTTTATCACCTGTTTGAGTTCCATTTTTGGCTAAAAATATATTTTGAAATAGTATATTGTTGGAGAATATGTGATAAAAAAAAAAAAAAAGAGAGAGAGAAAATTTTAACTGAAAATTTGAAATTGAAAATGAATTTTGAAAACATGCGATCAACGGGAGGCTTGGGTTTCATTCCAATTAATTATCTGCTTCCATCCCGCCGCTCGCGCTGCCTCGCGTCCCAAAAGACCAAAAAATAGGAAAAGTTATTTAAAACACGAATGAAAAGCAAAAATGAAAGGGGCAGCAGAGCAGCTTCAATAATCAATTCTCAGACCAACTCTTTTCAGATAAGAACCTTTCTCTTCCATTCCACCCCAGTCGTAGAACGAAGAAGACGAGCAAATAGGGAATATGTAAGCCACCCGCCCATTTCTTTATACGTGTATGCATGTGCATAGTGCGTATTTGTTATTAGATGGATTTAATTGCTTCTGAAAATGGGCTATACATGGTTATTAAATTTGTAAAGATTTGAGCTTTTGATGAAAAGGAGACCCACCTATGATTTTGCTATGTTTTCTTGAACATGAATTTTTGTATTAAATGGATTTTATGTAATGTGAAATGGGCTGTAGATGGTTATTATTAGCATAAATTTTGAAAGACTTGAGCTTTATATTGAAACAATTATGTTATTTGCAATGTCTCTTGAAACTGAATCCCTGTATATTAAATGGATTTTATGGTATAGGAAAATGGACTGTCAGTGTTGATTACATTGGCATTTGGCTTAAATTTTTAAAGATTTGAGCATTTGATGAGCACGAGTCCAATGTATGTTAGTTGCAATTTTTTTGGGTATAATATGGATTTTATGGTATACAAAAATGAGCTGTTGATGGTTATTATGAATACATTTGTGAAGATTTGAGCTTTTTGAAGGAAACCTGCCCCACCTGTATTAATTGCAATGTTTTCTTGGAGCTGAATGAAATCCGTTATTTTGTTTTTTGGTTCAATTACTATATTGTGGTCTGAGGATTCACTGTGCGATGAACCACTATATCTTCATGTTCTTTTTCTATGAAATTGAATTGGGTTTTTTCCCAAGTTGTATTGAAAATGCATATTTCCTTCCAAGCAAAGTGGATTTGTTGCAAAGTTGAATGAAGTCTGTTTCTTTGATGTGCAGATAGGCACTTTTTGGGGTTCATCAAAGGTCAGTCTCTCTCTCTCCCCCCCCCTTTTTTCCTTCTTGAAGTTATTGTTTAACCCCTCAAATAACTATTAATTTAACCTCACGCAGTTGCCTTATTAACCTTGAAAAAGCAGCAGAATTATGTTGATAATGTGCATGACTAGGAATTATCTATTATATTTGTATCCAACTATCCCCATAGAGGAAATTATTTGAACTCCCTGTTGAAGTTTTGGAGTTTTCCGTGTTTGTTGAGGATAGAGTGTTCTTGATCTGAAGTAATTTTTCCGAAGATGATTATCCTTAGATGTCAATAGAAGTCTAAAGAGAATAAGAATTGTTTACCTCATTGTGACTATAGTGAGATATAGTAAAGTTGGGGAAAAAGGATCATGGAGAACACAGAAGGGAAGAGAACTAGAAATTGTAGTAAGATGTAAATGAAGATCATATTGGCTATTTTGGAACTTGTGTTTCTTAGTTCTTGTTGTTTCCTTTCAGTAAAATAAAACGCTATATCATACAAATAAATTAAATTAGCCAATCAGGAACATAAATGTGTGCATGTTTGACAATGGCTTATTTCTTATTGATGAACAATAAACCTTATATTGCATGTAGAAATTTAACGGGTATTCCAAATGGCCGAGGAAACAGATGCTGCATGATGTCAGTAATTTTGCGGAGCACCTATTTTGGGTACGTTTGTCTGATCAAAATTTTGTATTTTGTTCTCATCATTTAATTTCTTTGCTATGTAGAGATCGGGGGTGGAGAATATTGTTTGGAAGTTAGATTTGTTACGTAATACTTGAAATTCTTTCTCGTCCCTCCTCTACTTTACTTCCCTCTTCAATATCATGTTCACCCCTCCATTAGGGCTCTTAAGAGGAAAAATCATGAGACTGCTGCCTGTCATTCTTTGGTGGAAAGGATGGGGTGGGGGATGTATTGTTGATTCCATTTTTCCCCAATATTCGGCTTCCTCAACTCAACTAACAGATTGTTAATTGGTTTCCTTAAAAAAAATTTGTTAGTCCATATGATCATGGTTATTGTCCTTGAGCTACTTCAAGTCATTCTGACTTTGGGGTCTAATTCCTGATAACCTTCATTTAACTATTGTAGAGGTGGCAGTCCAGCGCTGATGATTACTACTGGCTACTGCCATCAATCTTCAAGCCAAGACAGTTCATGGTTCAGACCATATTTTGGGGATGACGGATACAAAAGGGGCAAGTCAGGAAATAGAAGATCTGGGACATGGAAAAGTAAGTTGGCTTATATAATTAAACACCAAACACGTGTTAGTTAATTCTCATTTTCTCTTTTATATGTTTGAGATATCCATAAAAGGTATATTTGTAAAGCTTCTTTTGATATTTTCAAATATGTTGAATGATGACACAGAACATGCAGTTAAAAACTAGGGAAATATTATATGTGACAAGATTTGAAGCAAATTATATTGAGTTTATGCTTTTAATCCTTTTTGTTTCTCCTCTTCTGGCATTTTTTGGAGACAGTAGTTTATGCAATTGACCAAGCTGATATATTACACTCATCTGATAACTAGATTACTGGTGCATATAGTTCTCTTTACTCGGACAATCTCTTTAGTCCTTGTGATCTGTTTTCTGCATCTGATGTAGTTAACAAATTTAATCTTTTTTCAACAGATTTTAATTTCTGTGAAGATCGGAATATGAGACTATTTGTCGTTCTGCATTCTGTGGAAGTCCGTACTTTGGTTGGTCCTTCATAACTGACGATGACCCAAGATATTGGAACTGTTGGAATGAGGAATCGAAAATATCCAGAAATTAAAAAAAAAAAATTAATTCAATAAAAAAGATCGTCTAGGTGTTCACATGTACATTATATTAAAAATGAAGAATTCGATTTTTTTTTACCTATATTCGATGATCAATTCTTGAATTAATTTTGAATCACGAACTTCCAGCTTTTTATTTTCAATAACTTGATGCTTCAAACCTCCAAATCTTTTATGGTATTATCCAAAATCAAGATCACACTGGTGGGTAGGCACCTTCTTTTAATTAAATTAAAAAACTAATTCTTAAACTGGACAATTGAAAAAATCAAGAAAAATAATTTTTCTCTCTTGTTTCTGTGTCCAAAATTTGAACACCATGTAATTATATATTATGAATGTTGTATAATTTCATAAGATGTTAGAAATAGAAAAGTTTCAATCCTTATGCAATAATAATTCCACATTCAAATAAGAGTTCTAATTAAAATCTAAGTAAGAGTTTTAATTATAATCCAAATCCAATTAGTTTACACTTAATTATATGTGTGGTCCTAGAACTTTAATTACAATTATAATTAAATTTACAACTTTCATAGTAATTACAACTAAGTATAAAATTTTATTGTAATTACAATTAAGTCAAACTATTATAATTACCATAATTATGTTTCAATACTTTATGGAGCTACCATAGAGACCTAATCGGACATATATTATCCAAGTTTCAATAATTAGATCTTGTCTAGTCGACCCTAGACTATGAATTCATGTTCTCTACTCCACTCATTCTCAAGTTTCCAACTCATCGAGATATATGACCAATCAAATTAATCTCACTCGTTGATGAATCAAAGAACTATTAAAATCATGAAAAAATATACATAATCCTGTCAAGGGATTTACATGAAATACACAGCGGTCTAGTGAAATTTAATTCTCCGCACGGTCATGCTATAGAATTAAATTCGACACATGGTTCGTTCAATACACTCCAAGCTTACTAGTGTCATCTTTAATTATTTCTGTGATAAGAACAAATAACAAACCTGAATAGTGAATCGGTCAATACTACAACCTTCTAATACAAGGTGCCAACCCTTATACATTTGTTGTGAACAAATTACTTATGATCAAAATATAAGTTATGTCACACTGTACTTCTCAACCCAAATAACCATATTATATTTTTCAAGTGATTATAGACACTTTAATTTGCATGCTTAATAATAAAAATGCAATAAGTAAGTAAAACCACAACTTATAATTATTTTATCATAGCAAAATATACTATATGGGCACACAACCCAACAGGAACAAATCATCAGGTTACTCTTAACAAATATAGAACTTCAAACAGTCGGAGATATCAACATGAGGAGGATTGGAGGAATATGATTCATAATATGACGAGGACTTTGATTCAAATTCGGAGTTTGAGAAGTCAGAGGTTGATATGATGTCTCAGAGGTTATCCTCGAGATTGAGTACCTCAGGCCCTTTAAATCTCGAAGATGTCAAAAATGCGTAAGATCTCCAGAGTTTCCTTTATTTTAAATTTCTGTTCACTTGGGGTTTGAGAGAATAGAGTTCTCTTTAATTTATTAGGCTGACAAATGATAAATTTTCATTTCCAGATATCGGGCATGTGCATTAAAATGGCATCCAGATCGCCACCAGGGTTCTTCCAATTTATTTCCTTTAGTTTCCCTTTTCTCAGCACCGAGGACCTGTTGTCTTAGGCTTCTTTTGTTGAGAATGCCTTTTTCTATTTATAATTTGTTGTGACTAGAAAGTTTGGTAGTAATAGCATTGTACTTGAAAAAAAAAGGTTTTCTTGTCATTTGATCGAGATTAGTAACTTTCTTGCTCTACAGTTTCAGCAACAAGCTTCTTTCTCTAAAGTTATTTTAGTAGGGTCGAGCTTATAAGTTGTACATTCGCGAACATGATATTTTTCACATGCAACCTCTATTTGTTGCAATAACAAGATGCTGCCTTGGACAGGTTGTTGCTGAAGAGAAATTTAAGGTTTGCAGTGCAGCAAATCAATCTTTATGCGGCTAGTTAGCTCTAAATTAGAACACACTGATGATCAACTGTATCTGGTGAATATCTTTTAGTACAAGACTTGTTAGATTACATGTACACCATTTGAAGTAGCTCTGTGTACTATTACTAGTTTTATTTGTTTTCAAGATCAATAGCTATGGTAGTTTGTAGTTGTGCAGTCTTTTTTGCAAAGCGCCTAGTGGTGTCAACGAGCCGAGTCGAGCTGACACGCTAGTTGAAACTCGAGACTTAGGCTCGGCTTGGGTAAAATAGTTCGAGCTTTTTTGCGAGTCTGAGCCAAGCTTTTGCTCAACCAAGAAATCAAGGTTAGGCTCGAGTTTTCTGCTCAGGCCTTATCGAGCCGCGTTGGGTAGACTCCGTTTTTTTTAATTTTTTTAAATAACGACAGCACCATGCTGCCTTTTTTAAGGCAGTAGCCGCTTTATTTGAAATAAGGCAGCATGTTGCTGCTTTTAAATTGCATTTTTTCTTTTAATATAGGCTTGTGAGCCTAAGTCGACAAGCCACACAAGCTTGCTTGGGCTCGGCCTGAGTCTCGGTTCAAAGCCTCGTGTCAGGTTGGTTCAGGCTTTTTTCGAATCGAGCCGACGATCTCGATTGTCATTCCTAAAAGCACCTCTAAGCTAGAGAACAGAGCAGACTTGCAATAGATTAGATGGGCTGGCAAAATGATACATAGAGTCTACTCTAAATAATAAATATTACCATTTGTCTTTCTTTTAATGTGACAGTTTCTTTTTAAGCAAATGTTGTGCAAATTGATCTATCGTTTATTTTTTCCTATAGTGTTGTAAAATGACGAATTTATCCATCTCTTTAATTAAATAATATATATAAATATATATTTGTGGTCATGGTCTCAAAATTTTTGAAAAGTGCAAGTGAATTCAATTAAAAAAATTTAAAACGCAGTAACCCAACAAAAATCATCTTATTTCCAACTTTGTTAATAACCTTTGCTCCCATTGGGTAAGCATGAAAAGGCTAATTTGCCAATCATATTTCCAAAAAACAATAAATACAGAATTGTGATAATTTACATTTTACCTAATTTCAAAGCATTCAAATGAAATATTTTGATAGAAATCACGATCAGCTATGAAATGTCCTAATTAATCAAAGTTTTAGATCAAAATTTGACCAAAAAACGTTAGGGGCATAAGTGATATAATAAAAAAAGGTTGATTACCATTTATGCCAAAAATGAAGAATGGGGATTGATTTCTGCACGGCTTCACGTAATTTGCTCAATTTATAAACATATAGGACATGTTTGGGAGCGATTTTTCCTTCCAAAAAATAGATTTTTTTTCTTTTATTTTATTATTTCAGTCGTCCTATTTGATTTCTTTTCTCACATATGGACCTCACTTTTCTCCTAACGGTCAAAAAATCAATTCTCAAAATCACTTCCAAACAGACTCATAAAGACTATGGAATTCAAATTTTTTATCTTAAATACCCTAATATTTATTTTAATAGTTTACGTTTTAAAATTTCTTTTAATTTATCTTTTATTTTTGACTATTTGAAATTAATTTTTGATATTTTAGTCCTTGTTTGATCCTAATTGTTTTTAAAATAAATTGTACTCTCTCTTCTGTTCGGCCATACATTTTTCAATAAAATAATATTTCATGTAAATTCAAAAAATTTCTTATTTTTAAATCACGCATTCTCCATCAATTTATTATTCAAAAATGCATTTTTAGACAAAAACTGGAGCTCAAATGGGTTCTTAAAATGGATTTAGAAATAGGTATATAGAAATTTTGTCAAACTGTTGTGGGTATTTTGAGTTTTTCATAAATATCTTGCTCAAAAGTCAAAATAGCGTCTAAAAATCCCCCATAATCTGACTCAACAACCCCCAGTAATCCCATCTAATCTTCAGTTGGCCCATGTCTTTCAATTCTCAGTCAGTTCTCAGTTGTTTTTCAATTTTCACCTTCAATCATTTCCATTTGAATCCAAGAATCTTTCACATGTTTATATGAAAAGCTAAAATACTTGAAAAAGAAGAAGTAAATTTTCAATCAGTAGTGAATAGTGATAATGCTAAAAGCTATACAGATTCTTGGTTCATCTTCATCCGGGTTCGTTTCCCTTTCCTACAGATTGAACAGGAAGCCTCAAGCAAATTGTGACCTCTATTTCTTATCCAGAAAACCCATAATAGCATCAAATTTATCGCCATTTAGATCAAAAACACATTCTTTTGCTTTTCGGGTTCGCAAAGATCGCATCTTTATTGCTGCACAGATGTCCCACAATCATTCCGAGTCAAACCCAGATGGTGCTTCATCTTCTTCATCACCTTCTTCCTCTACATCCACATTAGTTCAATCAACTGTGAGAACTTTTTCTTCGTAATTTTCTTGGTTAATTATGGTTTTGGTTTCTTGATTTTGCGTTAGTATACTTATCTTTTAGATGGATAATTCTCAATTTGTGGTTTATGGGCCGTGTATTCAAATAGGTAATGTCGTTCCTCGGAACTGTATGATTAGATTCTTTGTTCTTTGTCGTTTCTATGAATTCCTAAGATTGCTACTTTACGAAATTATTTGGTTTCTTGAATATAATGCGTTGAATTCTCATTTTCCTCTTCGAGCTATGTTTACCGCTAGGTCCTGCATCAATCTGCTGCAAGGAAATAGAGTATTTTCTAATTTGTGAATTTTTCTCGCCTCTGGGATTGTTATCTTGGTTTGTTAGAATATTCGAACCAACATAACAACAAAGGGGAGCTGATTAACTGAATCTGTTGTGCATGGTGGAACAAATATGGTTATGTCACATGGCAGAAGTTAGTGGAATTAGAATATTCCCTTTGTATGTAAATGCTTGTATAGATCCCCCGTGTATAAAAGGCAGATGAAGTGTAAAGATCAGTATTTAAAAAAAATAATAATAAAAAATAAATTTCTCAATCAAATTCGTTCAATTTCTGACTTGGTATCAGAGCCAAAATGGCTAGCACCGATTCTAGCGTTCAAGCTCCTTCAACCGAGTTGAATCCTTCATTATCCACGGAAGTTGCTGCGGGTCATTCTTCACCCTTTGGGATGAATCTCACTCAAACTCCATCAGTAAAGTTTGACAAAAACAACTTTCTCTTATTGCAGAACATGGTTATGCCTATAATCAAATGCCACAATCTTGAAGGCTACTTGCTGGGAACAAAACAATGTCCACCTGAGTTCCTTAGTACCCAGACTACTACTGAAGCAGGAGAAGCCGTAAAAGTAACCCAAAATCCATATTACAATAGATGGATGTCAACTGATCAGTTACTCATGGGATGGTTGTATTCATCCATGACCCCTGAAATTGCTATGAGGGTCATGGGATACACTAGCTCAAGCAATTTGTGGAATGCAGTCAAAGAAAGCTATGGAATATTGAATAGATCAAGATTGACATTTTTCACTGGGGAGTTGCAGAGAACTAGAAAATGTTATATGTCTATGGATCAGAACTTAATCAGTGTATTTCAGTTTACATATGATAACAATGCGTTTATTGAGATTTTTCCAGACCATTGTGTTGTGAAGGATCTGAAAACCAGGAAGACCCTGCTGCAAGGGATGCTTAAGGATGGTTTATATCAGTTGAAGGTACCAAACCCAAAGTCAAACCACCAGAATAATTCCAGCTGCTTCACAGTGAATTCTAGTTGTGATGAGTCAATCAAAGGAGTCAAGTTAGAGTCTGAAGTTGATATATGGCATAGAAGGCTATGTCATCCATCAAATCATGTGTTGAGTCAAGTCCTAAAGTCTTGTAATAAATCCACCAAAGTTAATGAAATTATAGCTTTCTGTGAACCATGTCAACTTGGCAAATTCCATGCATTGCCATTTCACATGTCCTCGTCACATTCATTAAATCCTTTGGACCTAATCTATACAGACATATGGGGACTAGCTCCCAAGAATTCTACCTCAAGGTTTAGGTATTATATCATTTTTGTGGATGATCATAGTAGGTTTACATGGATCTACCCTATGAAACACAAATCTGAGGCACTAAGCATCTTTACACAATTCAAAAATTTGGTTAAAAATAAGCTTGATAGAAAGATTAAAACCTTACAATCTGACTGGGAGGTGAGTTCAGGAACTTTTATAGAATTACCTTGGAAGCTAGAATTGAACTTAGAAATTCTTGCCCTTATACTTCTGTGCAAAATGGTAGGACGGAGAGGAAACATAGGCACATCACTGAGACCGGCCTAGCACTCTTGGCTCAAGCTCAAATGCCCTTATATCACTGGTGGGAGTTCTTCAAAACGGCAACATACTTGATCAACAGACTACCCACACCTATATTACAACACAAATCTCCCTTTCAAGTGCTGTATGGAAGAAACTTTAATTACAAAACACTCAAAATTTTTGGCTGTGCTTGTTATCCTTGCCTTAGACCATACCAAAAATACAAACTTGATTTCCATTCACAAAAAATGCACCTTTCTTGGCTATGGTGATTCACACAAAGGATTTAAGTGCCTAAGCTCTAGTGGTAGAATTTATATATCCAGACATGTCATATTCAATGAACTAGATTTTCCCTTCAAGTCAGGATTCTTAAAAAAACTGACTCAACCACAAACCTCAGAATCTGTCATAAGTCTGTTTCCATTTATCATTGAGTCCAGTCATAAAACAATACCTCAAGGTGCAGTTGATATAATTTGTCCTAGTGCATCAACTGCAACAAGCTCCTTTGGTAGAGAACTAGATCCTGGGGTCGGAGTTGAGGTAGGTGAAGAAAACAATAGCACTGAAATAAATCAGAATGAATCAAGTGATCAGGTGGTTGATGATGTTCAACAGAATGAATGTGGAACTGAATACACTGAAAATGAAGCAAATGTTGATTATCAAATTGCAAAACAAACTGCTGGACATCATATGGTCACTAGAAGCAAGGCAGGAATTTTTAAACCAAAGATTTACACAAGCTAAAGAATGGATAAATCAGCAGAAACTAAACCAGTAACTGTTAGTGATGCAATGCTGAATGACAGTTGGAGAAATGCAATGCATGAGGAATATAATGCCTTGATGAAAAACAAAACTTAGACATTAGTACCTCATGAAGTTGGAATGAAGATAATTGGAAGCAAATGGGTGTTCAAGTTGAAGCATGATTCAGAGGGCAAAGTACAAAGGCATAAAGCAAGGTTGGTTGCCAAAGGTTCCTACAAGCACCTGAAGTAGATTTTGGTGCGACCTTTAGCCCTGTTATCAAAGCATCAACATTGAAGATCATCCTAACACTTGCTGTATCAAAGGACTGGAATATTAGGCAGGTAGATGTGAATAATGCCTTTCTGAATGGTAAGCTAAATGAGGTGGTATACATGTATCAACCAGAAGGATTTGTAGATAGAAGAAATCCCAGCTTTGTGTACAAATTGAAGAAGGCATTATATGGATTAAGGCAGGCACCAAGAGCATGGCATGAAAGGTTGAAAAGTACCATGTTGAAATGGAACTTTAAACAGTCCAAGGCAGACAACTCACTATTCTTCTTGGTAAATGGTAAGGATGTAGTGTTTGCACTTGTTTACATGGATGATATAGTGATAATAGGAAGCAACAATCAGCAATTACAACAATTTATTGATAATTTGAACAAAAACTTTACTTTCAAGGATATGGGAAACCTCAGCCAATTCTTGGGTATAGAAATGTTTAGAGACAAAGCAGGACTATATCTGACTCAAACAAAATATGCCACTAACCTACTCAAAAAATTTGGGTATGAAAATCTAAAACCAGGCTTGACACCCATGGTAGCTATCTAAGACTGAGGGCCAGGCTTTGGAAAAGCCAACCTTTTATAGAAGTGCTATCGGTGGCCTCCAATGTTTGGCTTATACAAGACCTGATGTCACTTAATTCGTGAATAAAATGAGCCAATTTCTCCAAAAGCCGACCGATACTCACTGGAAGGTACTCAAAATAATGTTTAGATACCTGAAAGGAACACTAAAACATGGCCTTGCCATTCAAAAGAGTGACAACCTGGACATAACAGCATTTGCAGATTCTGATTGGGCATCATGCCTAGATGATAGAAGATCTACTGCAGGTTATTGTGTATATCTTGGAGATAACTTGGTGTCCTGGTGTTCGAAGAAGCAACATGTCGTTGCAAGGTCAAGCACGGAGGCAAAGTACATAGCATTGGCTCATAGTGCGTCAGAGATTACATGGATTCAATCCTTGATGAATGAGTTAAGAATACCACGGTGGATTATCCCAATAATCTGGTGTGATAATCAAAGTGCAAGTGCGTTGGCTTCAAACCCAGTTTACCATGAACGTACCAAGCATATAGAACTCGATATTTATTTTGTAAGAGACAAGGTTCTTGGAATTGAAAATTAATTATGTGCCATCATCAGATTAGACAGCAGACTTGTTGACGAAACTGCTTGCTCACTCGAGATTCTTGTTCCTTAGAGACAAACTTGGAGTGGTAGAAACACACACTCCACCTTGAGGAGGGGTGTTAGAATATTCGAACCAACATACCATCAAAGGGGAGCTCACTAACTGAATCTATTGTGCATGGTGGAACAAATACGGTTATATCACATGGCAGAAGTTTGTGGAATTAGAATATTCCTTTTGTATGTAAATGCTTGTGTAGATCCCCTGTGTATAAAAGGCAGATGAAGTGTAAAGATCAGTATTAAAAAAAATTCTCAATCAAATTCGTTCAATTTCTGACTTGGTTTGGCTCAAATTAAGTAGCTTTTGATTTCCCCCAAAATTCATAGTAGGATATTCATTGGACTTCAGAAGAAATGAGGGTATTTGACGTCGATTGTCTGAACTTCTCATGGAAAGTTATATATACATTTTAAGTATACTCCCTCTGTACCACAAAGATAGGCCTACTTTCCCTTTTTGTTTGTCCTAAATTATAAATCACTTTATTTGTTGAGAGTATAATTAATGTCTTAATTTTCTAATATACTGCTATTTAATATGCATTATTATCAACAAATATGAACTACCAATATTCAATGTAGGGGTATATTAGGAAAAATGTAAGTAAAATTTATAGTTCCATCATATATTAATTAAGTTTTATTGATCTGTGTAAAAATTATATGGAGAGAGTACTTCCTAATGCTTGCTTGTTATATTGAAAGCAATTGCTCACCAACCTTGTTTCTTAATATAAAAGCATGTTGTATGCTTTTTAATTGGCACGATCTCTTACTCATGATGAATAAATAGTTCTTTGTGGTGGCTGTCGTTGTGTCTTTTAATATTAATTTTACAATTGGTGGTTAGTAATGTAGGTTATTTTAGATTGAGAGTGATACAAATCGAAAATACGTACAGTATCTATTTTACAAGTGTGTTCCTAGTCTTATTTTGTTTTTCACCTTTTCCTCCTGGCTTTGTATACGAACCAATGTGTACAAACAATGTGCAGTGTGCATTGTGTTCTATTTTTCATCATTCTGTTTCCTTTCTCTTTTAATTTGTACTAGTGTCAAACAATCTGCAGGGCAGTATTCGTAAGATCAATTTCTGCCAGTCATGTGGTAGCCGAACAAAGCATGAGATACCTGATGGGGAGGAGAAGATGAGGGCTATTTGCACATCATGTGGGAAAATTACTTATGAGAACCCAAAAATGGTATGATTTTCTAATGATAGTTGAAAATTCATTGGGGAATTACATGCATATTGTTTTGAGCCAACTGCTTTGTCACATTGTGTTGCCATATTGCTTTTTAACTTTCATAAAGTTGCTTTGTATTCATCATAGTAGTTCCATGGCCAAAAAAAGCCTGGAGTACAAAAAACAGGTACTAACGTAACAAAGATTGTTGCAGAGAGTTCACAAGAAATAATGAACATGTGCTCTTTTCTTTCTCTTTTAGAAGAACCGTGACCATTTAGTGTTTATGTGTAATGGCTGATTTAGATGGATTTATATGGGTTATAATAAATAAGCATGTGGTCAAGTGGACATGAATGATATTGTATTAGCAAACTGTGGGGGAAAAATGATCAACTAGTATATATTCATAGATCCATATGAATAGCATCAAACATAAGAGAAATATAACATGACTAAAAGTATTATCCTACATTTGTTTCTCGTAGATTTCCAAATTCCTAAAACGTATCCTAGTATCCTACTAGCATGATGGCAATTCCAGGATTAGATTTTAGAAAAATTCAAAGAAAACATAATTTTAATTCATTCACAATGTCTGGAACTTTAAATTGAAAGTCATTTGTGTAAGATAATGCAATTCTTATTCTGATGCAAGAGATTACTGAAAGGGTTTGTATATTATAATTGGAATGGTAATGATTAGGTCAAGAATACTATATTTGTTCAAAACCATATAAAAGAACTGTTTTCATTCAGTTACAGTTTATAATGATGTCATGTACAGTTTATAATGATGTCATGTATTCATATTAGCTTCATAAAGTATTTTTACTTGACATTGATGATGCTAATGGTTACAACGTGAACAGGTTGTGGGCTGCCTCATCGAGCATGAAAACAAGATACTATTGTGCAAGCGGAAGATTCATCCATCATTTGGCCTTTGGTATGCATTTGCTCGATCCAATTTCATCTGGAAATGGATAAAATTTTCATGCTATCAATCCATAGTTAGAAATTTAGTTTCTTCATAATATTGCTAATTCTACGTATTTCTGCATTCAACATTGTTGTTGGTCATTTGTTCTCTACTCGGCTGTTCTGTAGGACACTTCCTGCTGGTTACATGGAGATTGGGGAGTCGGCTGCCGAAGGAGCAATTAGGGAAACTTGGGAGGAGGCAAATGCAGAAGTAGAAGTTTTATCACCATTTGCTCATTTGGACATCCCTCTTATAGGCCAAGTAAGGAGAAATATCATAACACTAATTTTACATGGATTTCCCTGCTCTTGGCAACTTCATGTGCTACATTGTCTTGTATGAAACAGACATACATTATTTTCTTGGCTAAGTTGAAAAGACCCCACTTTTCGCCGGGTCCAGAATCATCGGAATGCCAGCTTTTTGCGCTTAATGATATTCCTTTTGATTCTTTGTCATTTTCATCAATGCTAGTCACATTACAACTGGTAGGATTCTATTTCAAATGCCAAGGCAATTATATCAGTTCATTTACTGAACTTTTGCTTACTTCTGTCATGATGTCTTCTTTGTTTCTGTAGTACATTGAAGATACAAAAGTTGGAAGACCCTTGTTTCACTATGGCATCATTAATAAAAGGTAATATCAATAAACCGATGTACACAATGAATATTATGAATGAACTTCGGTGTGTTTCCTTTGAGTGATAGATGAGCCTGCAGATATGTTAGGCACACTTTTCTCAAGAGAGTCGAAACATGTTTATGAATGTAAGAACTAATGAAAAAGTTCTGCCATTGGATGTTAAAGGAGAAGAAACAAAGATGTGTGAAGTCTCAATTTGATGCCTCTCGAAAACTTAGTTTCAAATTTGACTGTCTTAGAAAAGGTTTTGATAACAATGTTTTAGGAGAAAGTGATTAAACAATACATGCCGTAATTAAGTCTTTCAATGTGGAGAAATGCTTGTGGAAGAACTGTTCGTTCATTCAAAATATTAACATTTTAAATGTAGGGCAGTTAGACTATGTATTTGACACTGCCAGGTTTTGTACACAACTATGTGAACTATATTATTGACCTTTCTTGTTGCTCTGCGATCATATTCTTGATAAGAATTTGTTACAGGATGGTTTCCTGTGGAATTTCCGTGGTTTTAATTAGAGGCTAAGCATTTTATTTGCAATTGCTCAAACAATTGTAGTGTTACCATGGTTTGGCATTTCCTTTTTCTCCAGAAAGTTCATCAAACAAAACATAGGAACATAAAAATCTCAACAACGGTGGAAAAATTTGTCAGCCATACAACATTTTACACCACTTGCAATAGAAAGAAACAATACCACCAGAAAAATAGGTACCAAAAACATTATTATTGACTTAAACACCCTTATACACCTGAACATTAGGAGACATATCCGGTAAAAACACAGCCATTTCAGGGATCTACATCATAAGTTTAAACTAAATCCTTCTCTAACTGAAATCCCATCATCTTTCAAGCACATCAAATGTCACAGTGGTCGAACTGCCAGAGAACGAACTAAAGTGGTGGTGATGGGCTGTTGGTAAGTTTTTTATGTCCAATTGTGGTGGTGGTTGCTGGTTTGGGGGGAGGGGGGAGGGGTACCCCAGAAATTATATTAGTGGTGGTTCTGATGGCCATAAGTGAAGCTACAACAATGTGTTTGTTTTTGCTAGATCTGTCATGTCATAGATGACTGAACTTTACCTGCACTGTTGTTGAGATCATATTGAAGTTTCCGTAATATTTTGTTCAGAATTCGTACATTTTCTTATTCTGACAAGTAAAGAATGTAAATCATATTCTTAATGGCATGTTCGCTACGGTAGATTACAGCTCTATATGTTAAAGATGAAAGAATAAGCTAAAAAATTGACGTGTCACATATTATTGTTCATATTTCCTGGTGGTTTTCAACAGGCCCGGTACAAGCCCTTCTGAGATTCATGCCTATACTCTCGATCATCATCTGAAATCTTGACATTTGAAGGATGATGCTGTCCGGTTCTACAAGGAAATGAAGCAGAATTTAGAGTAAATTTACCAAAGATACAAGATCAAACCGTCTTACTCTTTACCTGTTGTTCAAGTTTGCTGCTCTGGTGCAATCAAATAAAGTTTCACTTCATTTATCTTCGTGCAACTTTTGTGATTAAACTTTGTATAGTAATTTCATTCTTCTGGTAATGAAAGAGAATCTGAGCTCTTTGTGCTTGAAAGTATTACTCACATTTATCATACATCATTACAGTCATATGGCACAATAAAGAGAGTTCCGCAAGCCCACTTGCATTATTTTCTTCCACGTGACTAAAAAATTGTCTTTGGAGTATTAGCCGTCAGTTCTAAGGTTGAGAGAGCAAACGAGCACCAATTACAAAGTGTAAAATGCAAATTCCTGCAAATAGAAGCTTGTAACAGAGTGAGTAGCACTTTTTACTTCGTCAATAACCTTTAAGTCTTTAGCCACGTTTGGTAACAATTTTTCACCCAAAAAAATCAAATATTTTGACCGTTATTTTATTATTTCAGCCGTAATTTTTTTTACTTCTTTACAGACAACTGGAAATCAATTTTCTCTTTAGCGGTCAAAAAATTAATTCTCATAATTACTATTGAACAAGTCCTTAATGTCTGAATACAGCAGACTCAACTTTTAAGTTGGCATTCACAGTTTCAATTTCATTGTATAAGTAGTCGGTATCCTCAATTTCAATATGTAGTGGTAGTGGTAGTGGCAGAGCTAAGTGCGGGCTTATGGGATCCTAGGGCCCGCTGAAATTTGGAAAAAAAAAATCTTTTATACAACTTTTTATATTTTTTTATGTTTAATATTATGATATTTATGTTAAAAAAAATTACAAATTAACTAGGTCCTTCCTAAATTTGATTCCTAACTCTGCCACTATGAAAAGAATGGAAACCAAATTAGAACCAATAGACGGTTTTGCTTATATTTTAAACAGTTTTGATTTTGTTCCAATTCTAGTATTCAAAACCAAGAAGTAAAGATTATAATCCAACCCTTTTTTAATTTATTATGTTTATTTATTAATTTGGTGAATATTTTTACTAGATTAAATTTTGTACGAACTTATTGTTATTGACCGAGGCTTGTTCTTTTGTTTTTGGTTGTAAGGATAACTTTGTTTTTGTAGAACTTTCTACCTAACTTGCATTAATATTTAGAAGTTGGTTATGGAATTTACCAAACAAAACCAGAACCATAATACTTCCTTCTTCCCATTTTTGTGGGTTGGCTTTTCTTATTTTCTTGTCTCAATTATATAATCATGTTTCTTTATTAAGAATGTTACGTTTTATTAGTTTGTTAATATACTTTTATTTAATTTACTTAATTATAAATAATTTTTCCCACTTAATCCTAAAATTGTACAAATATAAATAAGGACGAACTAAAGAAGCTTTTTCAATAACATTAAATAAGATTTCTTAATCCGTGTAAAAAATAAAACCAGCGTATATAAAATGAGACGGAGGGAGTAATTTATTGAACGGGTTTGGCTCCATAAATACTTATATAGATGGTTTCATTATAAGATAATCATTGATTCTCAATTAGGTTTCAAACCACGCTCACCCCTATAAAATACTAATACTTTTTATTTATGACGACTAAATATTCAAAAAAAAAATCAGTTGAATAAACAAAATTTACTTAAATTTCAATTGTGTTATCGAACTTTTTCGCCGCTTCATAACCATATATCCCTAAATTTATGAAATTGCTTAATTGTTAATGATCTTCCACAACAGATCAAAAAATTATTTGCTCTACCTAAGGTTAGAATAAGACGGAGAAAGATTGATTTATTGAATTTAGATCATCAATTTTGCCAATAAGGATGGCAACGGGGGCGAGAGGGGCAAACTCCCCCAGGCCCCCATAGCTCGTTTTAAGGCGGGTCAGGTCGGGGGCAGGGACGTTGCCCCCGTTTAGTACCAGTTTTATGTTTGTTTTTTTAATTCATTTTATTACCCCATTCATTAAAGTAAAATAATAATAAATTTATTAATATTTTTAATTTATTCATTTATTTTTAAAAGTTGAATTATTTAAATATATTTGATAAACTAAGGCTTTTATTATTTGTCATATTCTTTAGATAATTTTAGTTGTCATCTTCTATTAGAACAAATGAAATTTCGTATAGTTTTCCATTTTAAGTATTGAATTTTTTAAAAAAATCAGTTAAACGGGACGGGACGAGGTCCTTGTTACTCGTACCCGCTCTGGAGCAAAGTCCCCATCCCATTCGAAATGGGGCCCACGAATATTGGGTTTGGCGGGTTTTAACTTGCCATCCCTATCTGTCGGAAAGCATCCACTTTTAATAATAATCAACAGTTCATTCAATTTGCAGAAATGGCAATTACAATTGAAGGTTTGTTTTCTTTGTCCTCCCTTTCCTTGTTTAATTTACATTTATTCGCAATGTTAACTTTTGCAATTTAAGGAAATAAAATTAGTTTAAATGGTTTCTTTTTATATATATATAAATTCTGTAGATTAAAATTCAAGGAGAAAATTAAATAAAAAGTATGCTCAATCATCAATTTATCATTCTAAAGGAGATTAGTGACTACCATGGCATTAGATCTTTACATATTGGAGTATTAGATCTTCGAATTTTGAATGACATTTTTAATAGTTATCAAGTGCCTTTATTTAATTGTTTGTTTTAAATTTTCATTAAGACACTAACCTGTAATTCTTAGATTAAAATTCAAGGAGAAAATTAAATAAAAAGTATGCTCAATCATCAATTTATCATTCTAAAGGAGATTAGTGACTACCATGGCATTAGATCTTTACATATTGGAGTATTAGATCTTCGAATTTTGAATGACATTTTTAATAGTTATCAAGTGCCTTTATTTAATTGTTTGTTTTCGTTTGTTTTAAATTTTCATTAAGACACTAACCTGTAATTCTTATACTGTAACAATATGAATTGCAACTTATTTTTGTTAGTTTTCTTGCTCAGATTGAGCTTCTGTTAGCATATCATTTAGACCTTGTATATGTATATGTATGAAGTTGACGAATTGTTAATATTTTGGCATCCATTTTATTTTATTTTATTTTTTTTACTCTCAAACATAAATAATGTGCAATTTTGCATCCATGAAAGTTATGCCTTTGTTTGAGCCCCATTCTTTATCAAAAAATGGATTTTTGAATAGTGCATTAATGATAAATGTTCGTTTAAAAAATAGAAAAAAATTATGAATTTAATTGTAATATTATTTTATTAAAGAATATGCGATTGAAGCGAGGTCATATCACTGTGGAAAAATGTATTTTGATTAAAAAAAATTGGGGGATGGGGGAGGAGGGGCTCGAACAAGGGCTATAAGTGTTTTGTACTTCAGTCCAATTATAGATGAAATGTAAAGAAAATGAAGTTCAAAGAAGAACAACAAATGTTCACACACGTGCCTATCATATTTTGGATTTATTTACTACAGTAAAACATTCTACCAATTCTAATTTTTAACTTATTTGAATTTGAGGGTAGAATGAAACTTTATTAGTCTCAAGTTGTGTTAGGGTTTATTATTGAATTTAACAATCATAGATGTCTTCTATACCATTTAGGGCCCGTTTGGTAGAGATTTTGAGAATTGATTTTTTGACCGTTAGAAAAAAAGTGGGATCCACATGTGACAGAAGAAGTCAAAAATTACGGCTTGAATAGTAAAATAACGGTCAAAAAATCAATTTTTTGGGACAAAAAATTCCTACCAAACGGGGCCTTAAATTGAAATACCAGTCTCTCCAAGTTAGAGAAACCTTAGCTTTTAATAAGAATTGTCCTTTTAAGGCTACTCGAATTAATGAGTGAATCAAAATTGAAGTCATTAATTTTTGAATGCATTTTATGAAAACTATAAAATTTACTATATAAGTTTGGATTATATATATGAACAAGTAGATCTTGATAATAATAATTCGTTAAAATGATATTTGTTTCCATACGTCTTGATGTGAGTTACCATGCTAGTAAAATAATTGCGTTTAAGCACTTCTAAAAATTAGTCGTCTAGAGTTTCAAAGTTATCGGGACCGCCCTGAATGATAATACCAAAATTGGTTCAATTGTATTTATGTTTGATCGTTACATCTTCTTTTTATTTATGACGACTAAATATTCAAAAAAAAAATCAGTTGAATAAACAAAATTTACTTAAATTTCAATTGTGTTATCGAACTTTTTCGCCGCTTCATAACCATATATCCCTAAATTTATGAAATTGCTTAATTGTTAATGATCTTCCACAACAGATCAAAAAATTATTTGCTCTACCTAAGGTTAGAATAAGACGGAGAAAGATTGATTTATTGAATTTAGATCATCAATTTTGCCAATAAGGATGGCAACGGGGGCGAGAGGGGCAAACTCCCCCAGGCCCCCATAGCTCGTTTTAAGGCGGGTCAGGTCGGGGGCAGGGACGTTGCCCCCGTTTAGTACCAGTTTTATGTTTGTTTTTTTAATTCATTTTATTACCCCATTCATTAAAGTAAAATAATAATAAATTTATTAATATTTTTAATTTATTCATTTATTTTTAAAAGTTGAATTATTTAAATATATTTGATAAACTAAGGCTTTTATTATTTGTCATATTCTTTAGATAATTTTAGTTGTCATCTTCTATTAGAACAAATGAAATTTCGTATAGTTTTCCATTTTAAGTATTGAATTTTTTAAAAAAATCAGTTAAATGGGACGGGACGAGGCCCTTGTTACTCGTACCCGCTCTGGAGCAAAGTCCCCATCCCATTCGAAATGGGGCCCACGAATATTGGGTTTGGCGGGTTTTAACTTGCCATCCCTATCTGTCGGAAAGCATCCACTTTTAATAATAATCAACAGTTCATTCAATTTGCAGAAATGGCAATTACAATTGAAGGTTTGTTTTCTTTGTCCTCCCTTTCCTTGTTTAATTTACATTTATTCGCAATGTTAACTTTTGCAATTTAAGGAAATAAAATTAGTTTAAATGGTTTCTTTTTATATATATATAAATTCTGTAGATTAAAATTCAAGGAGAAAATTAAATAAAAAGTATGCTCAATCATCAATTTATCATTCTAAAGGAGATTAGTGACTACCATGGCATTAGATCTTTACATATTGGAGTATTAGATCTTCGAATTTTGAATGACATTTTTAATAGTTATCAAGTGCCTTTATTTAATTGTTTGTTTTAAATTTTCATTAAGACACTAACCTGTAATTCTTATACTGTAACAATATGAATTGCAACTTATTTTTGTTAGTTTTCTTGCTCAGATTGAGCTTCTGTTAGCATATCATTTAGACCTTGTATATGTATATGTATGAAGTTGACGAATTGTTAATATTTTGGCATCCATTTTATTTTATTTTATTTTTTTTACTCTCAAACATAAATAATGTGCAATTTTGCATCCATGAAAGTTATGCCTTTATTTGAGCCCCATTCTTTATCAAAAAATGGATTTTTGAATAGTGCATTAATGATAAATGTTTGTTTAAAAAATAGAAAAAAATTATGAATTTAAAAATAATATTATTTTATTAAAGAATATGCGATTGAAGCGAGGTCATATCACTGTGGAAAAATGTATTTTGATTAAAAAAAATTGGGGGATGGGGGAGGAGGGGCTCGAACAAGGGCTATAAGTGTTTTGTACTTCAGTCCAATTATAGATGAAATGTAAAGAAAATGAAGTTCAAAGAAGAACAACAAATGTTCACACACGTGCCTATCATATTTTGGATTTATTTACTACAGTAAAACATTCTACCAATTCTAATTTTTAACTTATTTGAATTTGAGGGTAGAATGAAACTTTATTAGTCTCAAGTTGTGTTAGGGTTTATTATTGAATTTAACAATCATAGATGTCTTCTATACCATTTAGGGCCCGTTTGGTAGAGATTTTGAGAATTGATTTTTTGACCGTTAGAAAAAAAGTGGGATCCACATGTGACAGAAGAAGTCAAAAATTACGGCTTGAATAGTAAAATAACGGTCAAAAAATCAATTTTTTGGGACAAAAAATTCCTACCAAACGGGGCCTTAAATTGAAATACCAGTCTCTCCAAGTTAGAGAAACCTTAGCTTTTAATAAGAATTGTCCTTTTAAGGCTACTCGAATTAATGAGTGAATCAAAATTGAAGTCATTAATTTTTGAATGCATTTTATGAAAACTATAAAATTTACTATATAAGTTTGGATTATATATATGAACAAGTAGATCTTGATAATAATAATTCGTTAAAATGATATTTGTTTCCATACGTCTTGATGTGAGTTACCATGCTAGTAAAATAATTGCGTTTAAGCACTTCTAAAAATTAGTCGTCTAGAGTTTCAAAGTTATCGGGACCGCCCTGAATGATAATACCAAAATTGGTTCAATTGTATTTATGTTTGATCGTTACATCTTCGCTGTACAATCTAAGTATTATCGAACTTTCCTTCCACTTCGATACCTGTCGTTTCATTGCTATCTTGTTGAAGTTTAGTGAGGACAAAAATGTCAGTGACAAAAGTGAGATTTCACTAGTTCAGTGGCCGCATTTTGGACGAAAATGCCCCGTCCCCTTCCCCAAACAGAAATGAGAGTTGGCGCAACAGACTACGAAAGTGTGTCACTGTCGAGTCTTCTCATTCTTTGCCACCTACTTTCTCTCTCTACGGTTCTATGTATTTTTTACTGTCCTATAATTCTAATTTCCATTTTCAATGGCTTGTTCAGTTTCGATTCAAACCCTTTTACTTACCCCCAAACTACATTCACCTTCTTGCAATTCTTTTCCAGTTCTTCAAAGTAACGGAAATGATAAATATGGGAATAGAAAGAGGAAAGTTATCAAAAGATGCAGAGGAATGGTTCAGCACTTGGTGAAAGGACGACCTTCGGCAGCTTATGCTAGGGAAATGGAAAGACTCTCTGCTAAAGAATCTCTGCTTCGCGCTGTGAGTTTCTTTGGATTTTTTTTATTAAAGAAATTCCTAATTATTTTCACTCGCTTTGGGCTGCTCGTTTCTGTAATATTTTAGGGAAGTTACAAATTGGGTTTGGCTTTTCTAGATAATTTTTACTGTAATTTGCTTAATAAATACAGTATCTATAATCCTGTTCTTTCTGTTCATTATTCAATTTTCAAAGATAATTTTTTTTTTTTTACTTTTTTTTTATGTAATTTGCCTGAAAGTTTTGATCCTTGCATAATTGTGTCAGTATTTATTTTATCCTGTTTGTAGAATATATATTTATTGACTTAAATCGTTGGTGTACTTAAAATTTGCAGCTTCAGATTGCAATATTAACCTGATAGTATTGTTTACTGTTACATTTCTCCACAATCTCTTAGTAAATTTGGGTAATATCTTTCATTTGACTTGATGATTGATTTCTGGAGCTAATTAAATTGACAAAGTAATTCTGTATTGTATCAATATCCATTTTCTGTAATTCAGTTCAAGGATGCTGGGGGATTTGAAGCTTTAATCGCAGGGAAAACAACAGAGATGCAATGCATTGACGTGAATGAAAGAATTGTTAGCCTTGAACGACTCAATTCGACACTTCGACCAACAACGTAGGTTGTTTATTCTTTCAATGCTAATTCAGTGTATAACTGCTTGTGGAGAGAAGGTGCTCATTTTGTGCTTTCAGCTACTCAGGTCTCCTTATCTGGAAGGTCAATGGAAGTGTGAATGGCTTGGATCGGGAAGTCCTGGGTTCATTGCTGCCCGTTTTTTGTTTGAGCAAGTTTTATCTTATTTTTTGTTTGATTTACAATGATTACAAAAGATTTGTTTCATTTCATTGTAAAGTGTTATTTAATTGGTGTCCCTCCTAATACAACTAAGAAATCCCTCTCTCAAGAACTAATTGGAGGGGAAGTTAGAAATAGCATGGTGGAGAAGAGTGATAGATTTCTTCAAATATAATGAACTAATTAAACAAAAAATGAAGAAGATGAGTAGCAAAATAATCTGCCACGGAATGCCTTACTTTTTCCCGAACTCACCCTTCTGAACTGCAATTGTTAGATTATTATGTTTTAGTATTGATGCAAGTCTTGCTTTTGTGCAGGAGGTTTCCTCCAACATTGGCAAACTTGTCAAACTTGGATACGGTGATCAAGGATGAATATGCAAATATTGCTGCAAATATAAAATTATTGAACTTGGTAATATATTCCTTTTCCAGGTGGCCTATATGTATTTTGTTGCTTATTAATCACTCGTCCTTTCCTCAATATAAGATGGCTGAAAAAGTTTTGAGAAATTTTTACCACCGTATCATCTTGTATCTAGGTTTTACTCTTTTTTGTTTTGCTTTTGTCACTGTGAGAACAGGCAAAACTAACCTGATAGTGCTAAAAACAAATGTTCCTTTCTCCTCTTTCAAGAAAAATAAGCCATTTATTATCTTGTGTATTTGTACGATGAGACATAAACACAAACTGATAAAGGGAGACAAGTTTATTTCAAAGACGTAACTGTAAATAAGCCATCAGAATAGTATCAAATATTTTTTTGTAGACATTATGAAATCCAAATTATGCCATGCCATGAAATATAGTTAGACATTTTCTCTATATATTTAAACTTGATTCATTGATGAGATAATCACTAATGACAACCTTGGTACTATAATAAGCTCCAAATTATCTGGTTTTTCATTTTCTCCCCGTCTTTTTCTAGATTTTCCCTAATTCGTTCCCTAACCACCAACCCCTTTTCAAGATAGTCGAATACAGACAATGGTTAAACTTTAAACTGAGTGACAGGAAATTAAAGCCCATCACCATCTCTAAATGTACCCAACCTGTGGGGTTCTTGGGTATTTACATCATAATTCTTAGCTACGACTAAGCCCTTGAGCGATGTTGATTTTGAGAAGTGATTTTGTTATTTTTGAGAACATGTAATATAAAAATAGAGAAAAGTTATGGATCCACATACAAAATTATTTTATTGAGAGAATGTTAGGTTGAAAATGAGTTTAAGGAAATGTGAATTTGAAAAAAGTTAACTTTCAAACAAGGACTTAGTATAGAACCACATATTGCTTTTTCAATATTTGACTGGCACCATGTTTTGTGTGCTTTATAAAATATTCCTGTTGAAATGCAGATACAAAGCAACTTCATTCTTTCTGCCAGGTTATCTATTGAGGGACCAAGGCGAATGAAAGTGGAATATGTTGAAGGGATATTTGAATCTCCAAAAATTTACGAAGAAAGCATACCTCAACAACTGAAGAGTGTTCTTGTTCAGGCAGCTAGCACAGTTCAGCAACTTCCTGTTTCTATCAGGGATGCTATAGTCAGTGGAGTCAGGATTCCTCTCGGTGAGCATTCCTGATTTGCCTTTTTCATTTTGTTCCTTCCACAAGTGTTAAAAAAAATAATAATAATAAATAGTTAACTTTCTTCCATCAGGACAAGTCCATGTATGTTTTAATTATGTACCATGCATTATTACTGTTGGTGTCAAAATCTATTAACACTTCAAATGTGCCAAAATCTCGATGTGGCTTTGTGACTTGGGGTGGCAACAGAGTGACAAATCGTCTAAGTGGAGCTAAGGTGGTCCTGTGTCGCTCAAGTCAATCTATACATTGAATAGAGTGTCATATAGTAAAATTGACTTGTCCATAATGTGAAAAGATCGTAACTTTTAGAAGGTAATATTATGGTAACTTTACTTGAAGGAAATGTGGAAATATATGGAATGTTGAGGATAGATTTTTCGATTTGATTGTGCACTTGTCTATTGCACCTATTCTCAGTCACTCTGTTTTGACTTCAGGCGGAACATTTCAGAGGCTTTTCTTGATTTCTTATCTCGACGAAGATATCCTGGTAAGTCTTAACCGTTGTTATTAATAATTAAGCAGTTTAAAAGGTATTCACAAATCTTTGAAACAGCTCGTTAATCGTGTCCATATTTGTGAATCACGTCTTTTTGGAGATTTGTCAATACTTCAATGACAAGTTGCAGATAGCTGGTGCGTACTTAGGATATTAGAGGACAAGAAATTGATATTCTGTGAGTTTTTGGTATAGAATAGAGGTAAACATGCACTCTTGAGGAATGTAGTTTTCCCTGCGAATTTCTCTGGAAAATTTTTTTTAAGTATCTAAAGAGAAGATTTTTTATCCTTGGCCAATAAGTTATTGAATCGAAGGACTGACATTTTGACTCATGAACTCTTATTCCTGTTCTAACATAGCATATTCATCTTGCTCATCACATTTCATGACATTTGGGCACGGTGAATGCAGATAACAAGGGATACTGCTGGAGTACCTGAAGTCTTTAGAAGATTAGACTCCGCACCGTTGCCTATGATAGATGGGATAACGGAATTTGAAAGTTGAAGACGCTTAAATTTCATTGTAAATTCCTAGTATAACCACAAGTATCCCAACCTCTGTCTACATTAGGGGAGAAAACACTGCTCCAGCTTTCCCGGTTTCCCCTTTTCGCTTTCCTCCATCTCTGTTGCCCTCTTGTTTTTGTAATAATACAACTTGACTGGCATTATTAACTTATTCCATCTTTGGAAGAATTTGTAGAATTTTTTACAAGGACTAAATGAATATGTTTGGGGTGGTATCAATGCATCCTTATCGTGGAAGGGAATTAGAATTCAAGTTGTTTAAAGCAGAGTTATTAACTTATGTTTTCAACATTCTTGGGTTAATTATCATCAAATAATTAGATTTCGGATTATAATTAATGGCCAATGAATAAAACACTTTCTTAACCATAGATTTAAGGTTGTGCCCAAGTCAATATTACTTGCATATCTTAGTCTCAAACTTGGCTATGCCTTTTTCTTTTATGTAGGTGAATGCATCTATTTTTTTCAGTCATGTCTTGACTTGGCTGCCATATCCAGTACTATATGTCAGATGAAGCCTTCTTCTTCTCGGTCCACTTCGGTTCCTGATCTTGAGCCCACTGTTCTCGGTCGCCTCAAACTTGGTTTCTTCTCGGTGTCCTCACCTTTCGATGCTTTAGGCCATCGCCTTTGTCCTGGTCTCTGACTCCCCTGGCCAAGTACTTTCAATTTAGAAGGCTAGCTGCATGTTCTCTTAAACAAGTCAATACTAGTTTAAGATCTTGCGGGAACTTTAACTCGATCAAATATTTTGTCTATGATGATAATTTGGCTCTCAGATCGACCTTAGTTAAGTAGACTTGATATTTTTCCAAGCATGCCTTATCACAATCCTTAGTTTGCCTAGTCGTGAGCGATTTAATTAGCCAAAGCCTAAGTAGGTGACACATGTAGGGTGTTTACCTTGGGCAGACAAGATGGCCTTCCGCATTCAACCATCATATCAAATATTTTTTGTCTACATGTTTCAAATATGATAAACTTTTGGAACCTTTTGTTTTTGTCAGTTAGGCTCCGTTTGTTTTTCATTAATGTAAGAACGAGAATAAAAAAATATAGTCATTATAGACTTTACACAAGAGATAGAAATTTAAATATGGTAACTTGATGTAATAGATAACAGTCATATAATTCATTTTAATCGTCAAATAATGGCAAACAAACAGGGGCTTAGTCTCTAATGATGACTACATGTTGAATTGGTATGTCCATTACTTGCCATGTAAGGGAAATAGAAGATCATCTTGGTAACTATATTCTTTTCTTTTCTTTTTATTGCAATCGAAAAATATTTAAAAAAGAAAAAGTCAAAACAAACTATATCAAACAAAAGATAGAAACAAAACATAAGTGCAAAAGTCCAACTGAAAGAAGATAGAAAAAAAAAATTGTAAATAATTGAGTCGGTTAGAATATCCAAATGGAGTAAGGTTAGAAGGAGAACTAGTCCGATACTAAAACTCAAAAAATTAAATTAAAAAAGTGAATAATTAATCCACATCACTTCACTCTAAAGTTGACATAGGATTCTCCATAGACATCCACTTGAAGACCTACCAATGGAAACTGGTTAATCTCTTTCAGGAACCCCTCAAATTCTGAAAAAAAACCACTCAATGAAGTGTGGCCCCTTCAATCTTGTGCATAAAGTTTAAGAAGTAGCGATTCTAAAAACATATTGGCTTGCACGTAGAGAGGTGCGGGGGGTAATTTGATTGAAGGGTGTATTATTCTTTGAAACAGAAGAGCATCATGTTTATTTATGTAGCTGAGGGGAAGAAAGCTTTGTTTATGATTGTATAGGAAGAAAACTTCAAAAATAGGAGAGAGTCACTGACCCCAGTTTCTCGTAGCGTTTCGACGTGTTCACGATTTTCGTTTCTACGTAACCTGGCAATGCATAAATGAGTGTGTATCATGGATTTACTTAAAGCAACTTCCTTTTGATCGATTGGACTAGACTTTGTTATTGAAGTTCAATCATTCTTACTTTGATTGCAAATAGCAAATGCTTCTTGTCCAAATTCGAGTCTAGTCTAAGTGAAGATCGAGCACTAGATATGCTTATAACAACATACTTCTTTCTCTAATTTGATATTAATTCTTATATATGTATTTGTTCCATTTGACCGTTAATAATTAAGTTCTGCTAAATACAAATTCTAAATAGATAAATGTGTCATATTATTTACCATTTTTAGCCCAGTAATTAAAATTTAGATTTTTTAATTTAAGTCAAAGTCAACAATTATTTTTAATCCCATATTTTATGAGTCTCACAACTTTTCAACCATATATTTCATCAAATTCTATCCAAATCTATTTAAAAACTAATTTTAATCCCTATCCGAGACGATTCTAATTGTTGGATCAGTGTCCAGATCCTCATCAAACGTTAAAGTCCATTAGCCCATATAAATCATGATTACATAATTCAAAATTCACAAAGTTATAAGCATTGGATGTTAAATGGGTCGAGTCAAGTCACTTGACTAGTTCATCGTCGATCTCAACCTGATCCATCAGATGATCTGAGCACGAGCTTGTACGTGGAACCACTACAGGAAAAATGACATTTAACAACTAATGTTTTAACGACCAAATCAATCTAGTCGTTAATAAATATTTTCAACGACGAAATTATAAGCTTGGTCGTAAAAAATGGATGACAAACAATCAAATTTTGAATTAGTTGGAAATATCATATAACGACCAAAAATATAGTTGTTATTTCTATATTTTCTACGACCAAATTAAAATTAGTCATTGTAAGTCGGCGCAAAATCAAAAATTTCCACCAAAATATTTGTTGGGGTACTTACAAAAGTACCCTATATTTTTGGGTTGTTTTGAAAAAATCATTATAAACTTGGATTAAATGGCAATTACCTTAAATTGAACGTAAAATATACGTTCAAAACCTAAACTCACGTCAATCCTCATAAATCAGCCTCCAGTGTGCAAAAATCGAAGGAAAATTGAAAGGAAAAAGAGGAAATCTTCCACAAATACATAAACAAAGTTTGTTCATTCTTCAAATCGAGGAAACCATCCACAAAAACATTGAAAAATCTGAAAAAAAAAAGTCGAGCAGATCAGCAACGAAAACACAAAAAAAATTACAGGTATTTCTATGTTTTGGATTCCATGATTATAACTCATTATCCATCTCGTTTTTGTTTGAATTAACATTTATGAAAATAAAATTGTTGAAGTTGAGTGGATTGTTGAAGTTGAGTGGATTGTGTATGAAAAATTAGTTTTGAATTAATTACATTGATGCTTGCAAAGTGTTTGGCAAAAAGATAATATGAAAAAGTGGCATTCTATCACTTTTTTCAAAAAAAAGTCACAGTATTTCTTTTATACCTCAACAACTGAAGAGTGTTCTTGTTCAGGCAGCTAGCACAGTTCAGCAACTTCCTGTTTCTATCAGGGATGCTATAGTCAGTGGAGTCAGGATTCCTCTCGGTGAGCATTCCTGATTTGCCTTTTTCATTTTGTTCCTTCCACAAGTGTTAAAAAAAATAATAATAATAAATAGTTAACTTTCTTCCATCAGGACAAGTCCATGTATGTTTTAATTATGTACCATGCATTATTACTGTTGGTGTCAAAATCTATTAACACTTCAAATGTGCCAAAATCTCGATGTGGCTTTGTGACTTGGGGTGGCAACAGAGTGACAAATCGTCTAAGTGGAGCTAAGGTGGTCCTGTGTCGCTCAAGTCAATCTATACATTGAATAGAGTGTCATATAGTAAAATTGACTTGTCCATAATGTGAAAAGATCGTAACTTTTAGAAGGTAATATTATGGTAACTTTACTTGAAGGAAATGTGGAAATATATGGAATGTTGAGGATAGATTTTTCGATTTGATTGTGCACTTGTCTATTGCACCTATTCTCAGTCACTCTGTTTTGACTTCAGGCGGAACATTTCAGAGGCTTTTCTTGATTTCTTATCTCGACGAAGATATCCTGGTAAGTCTTAACCGTTGTTATTAATAATTAAGCAGTTTAAAAGGTATTCACAAATCTTTGAAACAGCTCGTTAATCGTGTCCATATTTGTGAATCACGTCTTTTTGGAGATTTGTCAATACTTCAATGACAAGTTGCAGATAGCTGGTGCGTACTTAGGATATTAGAGGACAAGAAATTGATATTCTGTGAGTTTTTGGTATAGAATAGAGGTAAACATGCACTCTTGAGGAATGTAGTTTTCCCTGCGAATTTCTCTGGAAAATTTTTTTTAAGTATCTAAAGAGAAGATTTTTTATCCTTGGCCAATAAGTTATTGAATCGAAGGACTGACATTTTGACTCATGAACTCTTATTCCTGTTCTAACATAGCATATTCATCTTGCTCATCACATTTCATGACATTTGGGCACGGTGAATGCAGATAACAAGGGATACTGCTGGAGTACCTGAAGTCTTTAGAAGATTAGACTCCGCACCGTTGCCTATGATAGATGGGATAACGGAATTTGAAAGTTGAAGACGCTTAAATTTCATTGTAAATTCCTAGTATAACCACAAGTATCCCAACCTCTGTCTACATTAGGGGAGAAAACACTGCTCCAGCTTTCCCGGTTTCCCCTTTTCGCTTTCCTCCATCTCTGTTGCCCTCTTGTTTTTGTAATAATACAACTTGACTGGCATTATTAACTTATTCCATCTTTGGAAGAATTTGTAGAATTTTTTACAAGGACTAAATGAATAGTGTTTGGGGTGGTATCAATGCATCCTTATCGTGGAAGGGAATTAGAATTCAAGTTGTTTAAAGCAGAGTTATTAACTTATGTTTTCAACATTCTTGGGTTAGTTATCATCAAATAATTAGATTTCGGATTATAATTAATGGCCAATGAATAAAACACTTTCTTAACCATAGATTTAAGGTTGTGCCCAAGTCAATATTACTTGCATATCTTAGTCTCAAACTTGGCTATGCCTTTTTCTTTTATGTAGGTGAATGCATCTATTATTTTCAGTCATGTCTTGACTTGGCTGCCATATCCAGTACTATATGTCAGATGAAGCCTTCTTCTTCTCGGTCCACTTCGGTTCCTGATCTTGAGCCCACTGTTCTCGGTCGCCTCAAACTTGGTTTCTTCTCGGTGTCCTCACCTTTCGATGCTTTAGGCCATCGCCTTTGT